TAAAAACAAAATGGTTCGATACCAGATTTAGGCATAAAATTTAATCTCATTTAAATTTTTTAAAGAAAAAAATACAAGTAAAAGATATTAACTGAAAACAAAATTGGGAAGTCTCTAACATTCAGTCAACTGAATGATAATTGAAAGACCGTAGAAAATTTACCGGAAAGGATATTTTCTATATCATTTCAGTTTGCATTCACTGTGCATTTAGTTACAATTTCGTTGACTAAAGGGTGTAATGACATCCTATACTATTTCCAGCTTGGGCTATAATTTCACCAAACTCGAATCTACACTTAATCAGGATCCTACTGAAAAATGCTCGTTGCTTTGCTTTTCCTATGAATTGAAATATATGGGCAAAACGAATAATATTCAACCTCAAAAGTCCATTAATAATACAAATTTGAAGCAGAGCAAACATGGACCTTGTTTTTTGAATATCTCGTAATTTATATTCAAACTCTTTTAATGTATGTTCTCTAATCTTGTGATGTATGTACAATATTTCGTTATCTATAATCAGAAACTTTTTTCATAACCGGGGTAGGGTGATTCTTATATGCTAAAACATGCACGTATGTTGGTAGTTACATGACCGGATTTTCGGAATTTTCAATGTTTAGTGTATATAATTTCCTATTATATAAAACCATATATTGAAGCTTTTGTAAACATGTACACACTTACAAATCTAAATAGACACTAGACAAAATTGCTAACGCACCACTTAAAATTCTTTTTTGTGAATTGAACATTTGCCTAAACGGTATTAGTATATATAAAACGCCATATTTCTCCAATACAATGGGATGGGCAAATGTCTTGCTGTCAGGGCAAAACCCCAAAATGACTTTCTTGCCCAAAGCCATTTTCCCGATATGCATTGCGTACCTCTTTTTTGCCCAGATATATGCATTGCTAATTATCGATGATGGTCCTTGAGGTTACACCAGAAACAGTCTCCCGGTTAAAAAAATCAAATAATATGCAGCTGTTGACTATTATTTCGCCTGCTAGTCATCCAATGCATCGTTGTCTATACCCAGTCCACTAAACTTCCGGTTGCCCCAATTTTGTGGAACGACATTGAAATTGTAGTAGTGTTTACTTAATGGCTTGGCCATCTAGAGTGAACATTTTTTTTTGTCTACTAATCTATTTCTAAAGAAACCCCTTGCAGACAGCATGATGTCTGTTTTAACACGCTCACCTGGGATCAAATGCCGCATACGGTATGAATTTTTTCTTCTGATTTTCTAATTAATACAAACATAAAGAACAAAATTGAAAAGAAAAGAATAGAAAATTATCTCTCCAATTTAGTATGGATACGGTTTTCACATTTTCTATGAAATAGCCATACTTCAAAAAACATTGTAGTTATTTATCAATAAAGACATTTAAATGCTTTATTTTTTGATTTTGTAGCATAATACATCAAATATATCTTAAACAAGTTTTGAAAAGTAAAATATTACTTTCATTTGTGGTGCGTTAGCACTTTTGTCTAGTGCGTTAAAGAAAGACGTTTCAAGTTAAAAGAAAAGAAGCAGCAAGGTATTGCAATAACCAATGTTGACGAAGATGATAATACTTGTTCGGACAGCGTGCAAACTTCAGAAGGGGGGGGGGGGGGGGCAACTGTTTCTCGGTCTTTTCAAAAAGTGTTTGTTCTCTGTGTTCATTTTTGGCTCTCATTAGTGCAGGTATCCAATTTCTTGTTTAATAGTATTACTATTGTAAAGACTCCATAAAATGTTAACATATTTTATGATTGTTTATAAATTTTATATTTTTAATACAAATTTAATTCGAAAGGAAATAAATATATTTTGTTAATCTTCAATAAACTATTTGCCCAGGAAAATGTCCTGCATAACTTTATGTTCATAGCAAAATGTTCATGAGATAAGAAATAAAAATATTGAACTAGTAGCATACACTCCCCACTTTACTTCAAATTTTACCGAATTCTTCGATCAAATTTGTAAAATGATCCGGTACTTTTTCTCTCGAAAGAAAGGCTTCCGAATACATAAAGATAATTCAGTTTCTTAGGAAAATGTTTGTGTTATTTATCCTTTAATGAGCTTATTGAAAAATAAATGTAGACTTGACTTTTATTTTTATGCAGATTTAATATTAATTATAATTTATTAAGGTAATTCTGCTTAGAAGTTGTACATGTTAAAAGAAGATGAAAAATCAATACTGATATTCTTTTATACATTTTATAGGATTTTTTTTCAAAGGACTGTAGAGTGTCTGGTTATTTATACAGAGGATCTATAAACGTAACAAATTCTGATCTACCATGTTAAGTATGGGATACACAGAGCACCTTTCTGCACCCCAAAAATATCAACAAAATCATTTGAACCTACAGTCAATTTTTTTTATTTCAAGCAGTAATCTTATGTATTAAGATATAAAAAGAAAATTAATTTTGCCCACCGTGATGTTATTTCTTCGATATTACTACATCACGTAATTTTTTTTAAAGTTTAAATTGGATATTTTAACTCTACTGGTCAAAGACAAGAAGAGCTTATGCGATAGTTGTGTGACCCTCGCCCGTCTGCCCATATCTGTCTATCTAGCTGTCTGCATTTTTGTCTGTCCGTCTGTCTGTATGTAGTTGTGGATAAGAGATGGGCGGACGGACTTCCCCATTACTATACACTCTTCCTTTTTTGAGCAGGGGTATAATAATACTAGAATCAACATGTACACAGTACGAGGGCTGTTCAAAAATTACGCGGACTTGTTGCACAGAAAAAATATTTGACGACATAATCCGGCAAAATCTCACAAATAATATAAAAGAATCTTTACGTGTAAGGTCTTCAAAATATCATATCAAAATGATGTAAATTGGTATAAATTTTGAATAATTTTTCAGGACATATCATTAAGTCACGGGGCAGCAAAATCTTCGACGTCACAGGCATTATAAAAAAATGTGTTATTGAGCTTTCATTTTCTCAATATTTTCCCAAGAGTTCCTGTACAGTTTGAGTTACCTTATCTACTCAACATCCAAACACCATTTCTTGTCAAGCTTCAAATCTATTAAACAAATAAAGAATATTCTTTTTTTGGTTTAAAACTATAAACTGCAGATATTTATGAGATATAGTGTGATATTGGTGACTCTCAAACACGTTCTTTACAGTCCGGATAAAGTTTTCGTCGATAATCTTCTTCCCGTCCTCTCGTAAAGCCTTTTTACAGAGGTCTAACGGTATAAAATTTCAATTGCTTTTTGTGGACGAATGTCGCGAATATCCTAGTTTACTATATGTTTTATTATGCATATTTTGGATCTCTGTTGGCGATATCTCGAGCATTACACATAATTTAACAAAAGTGCGGTGCGCCGTCAATTCAGAGGACGTCATTTTCACAGTCGTTTTCACGGAAATCGCATCAGAGAAAAATCATTATATTTCTGTTAGCACTAGTACTCGAAATGCATAATAATAGAACACTTTTAAGATAAATTTGAGAAAATTGTCGAAAAATATCGCGAATTATAGAAAATTAGTGAGTTAAATTTTGGATTCCGCATCTTTTTGCTTAAGATTTTCTTGTCGTGCTCCGTACCTCTCCATCAGCAATATCAACAAACCGATAATTTTAGTAGAATTCTTTTAAAGAACAGAAATTTGCCCAAAATTTATTGGAATCTTTAAGATACATATTTCTGTGAAATTTTATAACTATATGACGTCTATAAGAGTAAATAATAGCACAGTCCGCGTAACTTTTGAACGGCGCTCGTATTTCAGGTCAAAAGTCCATTAGCACTTCAAAAGAAAAGCAAAACATACACGGATCTCCAAAACATCGGGTACCATGGAGGATTGAGCATTCCCTACTGATCAATTACATAAACCGTGTGTTCCTTGTCATGATAGGGAAATAACGAGAAACCCGTTGAAGATTCAGTTTGTAAACAAAAGTCAAACAATTATTTTGAAAAAAAAACATCAACCAGCATTTAATTTCTTTTTCTTCGTACATTAAACTACAATGTTTAATCTCTAAATGTTTGTTAGAAGCTTGCTCCTCAAATGGAAGAAAAAAATGAAAATGATACTTAAAGTGCCATGAAGACAGAAATATTCAAAATTGATATATTTTACCTTCATGAATAGTGTCTGACTAATCCTTTTTAATCTCCACTATTCGGAAAGGTAAAATAAGGGGAATTTTTCTTAGTGTCATTCTTTTAATTATGTTCAACTTGTATTTAAAGCTGCTTTTCTCTGTTCATTTTGGTGTGATGAAAGCCATATTTAAAAAAGCACACACCAAGAAACATTTTTTTTTGTTCTATATCAAAATTTAAAATTAAAGTTAAAATTAGATACTGTACAAAAATTTATTGTAAAAACCTGGTCAGTATGTCTTATATTTCTTCCTGTTGAAAAACACTGTATATCCTTTTTCATGAAAAAAAAGATTTAAAGGTGAATCAATTTAGAAACTGTCACATAAGAATGCATTAACAAGCTCTTGGATCCTCGATAATTAGGTTTTTGTCTTGAAGTATAAACCTTCGTACGACGGAAAGATGATTTGAGTCTATTTCAACATAAACTTAATTTGTTTGATAGCTTTTGTTTTCAGTTCAGCAACAAACAAAATGTTATTTTTGTCTATACTAAGACCATATGGTTTTTGTAATCCACAGTTGTCTATACATAGAAGGAATTGTCCATCCTGATCAATTATATGTATGATATTGGCACCACTATCGGCAATTAAAATATGACCCTTTCTGTCTGTGGTAACATCACGAGGAATAAATTTTCCATATTTCTTTGAATGCATTAAAAGAGGGTTTCCATCATACGTGAACCTTAACTGTCCTTCACTGCTTAACACTCTTACCGATTCTGTATGCATATCGCTCAAGATGATGTCAAGGTTTTTATTTTCATGAATGAACGCCAGATGAGATGTTAATATTTTTTTGTTTTTGGTATTTAATTGTATTTCCTGCTTAACAGTAGAGCCAGAAAAACGAGTAATTTTTCTTTTGTTGGCATTTCCACTCTGTATTCGGATCTCAATTGTACCAGAAAGTCATCAGTGGAGGTACAGCATATGGCACCAGGTATCCAGTCTTTTTCCCTTATAAGGCATTCCGTCTTGTCGCCCTTGACAATATTGATACTTCTATCATCCCCGTCAATGTACACCAAATGTCCCTCTCTGGTTACGGTCAAATCAGCTGGTGCGGATCTTGTTGTGGTGGTGATCTCCTTAAGCAGTTTACCTTCGGAGTTCATGTGTTTAACTATACCACTGTTATCACTAACAAAGAATTGATTAGTGTCAGGAATACAAGCTACCTGAGCTCTTGGAAATCTATCATCAGTACATTTACTTCCAACTTCAAGTGACAAAGACGTATTTTCACATGTATGTATACTCTTTAAGACAAATGATTGGTTAGATTTTAAGACCTCTCCATTAATTAAAGTTTTCTTTGTGTCCGGAATCTCTCCAATTATTTGACACAGACCTTGCTCTGTAAGTTCTCTAGGATTAAATGAAGACACGGTTAATTCAAATCTGGAAGGAATATTTCGAAATTCTTCATTTTTGGAAGTGTATCTAACAAGTTGGGATAGATCATTTGAAGAAAGGATCGAGCGATTTTTATCTATTGCTGACCGAATTAAGGATTGTTTCTTCTGAAAATCTAATTTTAAATTCTGTATTGAGTCGGTATCCTTTCTTTCATTTCTTATTGAATCACGCTGATACTTTTCAAAGACCTTGTCTATAATTGTGTGACATGTTTTACTGAGGTCATGCATAGTTTTCCGTCTTTCATCATGTTTTTCGATTATACTTAATGACGTTGCTTCGATTCCAGACACAATTGATTCATACACAGGCGCAATGTCTGCTTCAAGTTCATCTAAGTCTTTTTTTATGAGAGCTTTTGTTGAGCTATAAATTTTAGAAATTTGTAAGACAGTGTGCTTTTCATGTGATCCAGATGCAAGGCATTTCAAACAAAGTAAAGAGTCACATTCTTCACAAAACAGGTCACTTATTTGTTCTTGATGGATACAACACAGTGGTGGGATGATTTCAGATTTTTTGAACTCAAAAGTAACAACATCATGTCTTAAATTTGGATCGGAGATCATATGGTGACCTACACATTCCTTACAGAGATTGACTTGACAAGTGTTACACACAGTTTCTGCTGTGGATTTTCTAGTTTTTCCAGGGCAAAGTTGACATCGTTTAACGTCTTGTGCTCCAGAGAATAGATCTGACGCTGTTGCCATTTTACGAGTGATAGTTGTACCTTTGTAGACAAGAAAAATGAAAGATGTGAAACAACTTTCCACCCCAAAAATTGACAGATTGGCTAAAATGCTAGTAATTGATGCATGTATGTAATTTAAACATTAAAAATTAAAGATATATTTTTGTTTTTTTCTTACCTTCCTTGTCTGTCACTCGGTTACCCTGAATGAAGGTTATTTCAACCTGGAGATAACAGACCAGAATGACAATTTATTGATCCTGTGCTAGAAAATGATTAAGAGACTGATACTTAAATTGATTTAAATGTCTCTCTGTAGCTTGCATTTTAGAAGCTATGCAAATAAAAAAAATATCAATGCATGCTGCACTAAGTCTTTTCATATAATATACCTGCTTTTATTGTGTCGTCATATCAAGTTTATTCATCTTTCAAATTGCTTTACGCTCCTATTCTTTTTTTTTTTTACTTAAACATTTCAAAAATACATATTAATTCATTTTTATGCACTAATAAAAATTACGTAATGTTTGAACATAAATGAAATATAGCCCTGCTGTTCTTTTTAATAGATGCATTCTCTTTTGCCTAAAACAATCCTTTTATATTTTAATGATGTGAAAATTTAGGCTTTTACATAATTTATTTTTTTTAATTTTATATTTTTTTATGTTTAAGAAAATAATGCTCTTTTGATGATAATGAAAAAATGAAATATAATTGTTAGTATAACTAAGGATAGGTTTCTAAACAACTTATATATGTAGATAAAGGGGCTCTAAAGTTTCATTTCCGGATAAATAATCCAGTTATTCCAAAAATAGCCGACAAGCGTTATGCACTATAGTTTTGAATTACTTGTATTTAAAGACTATTTTAGTCATGTGATTTATGAGGATGATTTCAATTCTTTTTTGTGAATGTTAATTTCTAGTCAGCATTTCATAAATTTAAGAAAAAGAAACAAAATGTAGATGAAATGATTTAGAAAGAGTTGGGAAAAAAATGTAAAGTCGAATTAAAGACCGTTCTCTCCATATCAGACATTGTAAAGCGTATTAAGTAAATGTGTCTTGAAAATCGTTCCTCGTTTCAATAAGACTTAATAATATATATGGATAAAACGTGTTTTTGGCTTTGAAATTGGATTCAATGTATTACACTAAAATAAATGTATAATTTTTCAACTATAAAGTTTCATTTTGTTAAATTTACCTTCTCTCGTCTTCGTGCTCTGTAAACTTAAGTTGGTTTAAATCATTAACCTTCGTGTAAATAGTAAAGAGATTCACAAAAATACAAAAGAAGACCCTTGTCGTCTATAATTATTAAAATATCCAAACATGAAACGGTTGTTACTAGCTCTTCTATTTGCTATAAATGCTGAAATATTCAAATAATGTATAAAAAAGAACGCTTTTGATATAACTTTAATAAAAGAAAGGAAACTTCACAGATGACTAATTAAGCTAAATACAAATTTTTAGTTTTGAATAGGAATTCATTTTTTCCTAGTATATTGAATTAACCAAAATTGCTGAGCAATAAAAAGCTAAGTATATTAGATACATTACCTGTAGGCCTAAGTATTTTTTTTTTATTTGTTTAACGTCGCTCTTTGGTTTTTTCCAACTCATATTGAGACGCCACCACTTTAATATTAAGAACTCAAGTCAAATGTGATCTGATTTATGTCAAATCTTTCTCTTTTTTGATCTGATTCATCATTAATTAATGTTTAATGTCTAACATAAATAAATTTCATGTACAATTATCTCATTGAAAGAATGTATGAAACGATAAAAAAATCTTTATACTTTATCTGCATGATTTTTATGGCCAATATGATAAAAATTTCATTGGCACAAATGAGGTACCATATACGTAGTGCAAGAATTAAGATCAATGTCCATAACAATGTTAGGCTAGGAATATCGCCTAAGTAATTTTAAGATACCACTTTAAACACGTGGCATATATTTTAAACAAGGAAGATAACATGAGATTAATATGGAATCTGTTAGAAAAGAGGTGAGGTTACTGATATATATGTATATAACCTTTTATCTTTAAATATCTGTGTTTTTACTTTCTTTTGTTAATAAGGCAGGGGATTTAAACATAAGGGGCGTCTTTCGCGACAAAATTAAAATAAAATCATTTAATTTAAAAAATGAATTATTCTTAAATGTAAGTGCAACGAATTTATAGCTCATTTAGAATTCTTCGCCCTTTAATAGAATCTTCTAAATTATTGTGTCTTAAGACCTTGTGCATATCAGTCAAAAGACCCATCAAACGCAAAAATCGCACGATTATAGTTACTTAAGGTATTCAATGTATAAAGACCATATTCTGTACTTAATAGTCTAATGATCCGATTTTGCTCAAATCGTGGTAGTATTTTGAAGACCATAAATGCTGAACCAAAGGAATTTACAAAATGATTATTGTTCAATTAATTGCACCCTTAATTTTACATTGAAGTCTATGGACAGTGCATGTTTTTATCACATATTGTAAAAAGTAATTCAGTTTCAAACAAATCTCTTGGTGAAAATATGTATTAACTCCCTCTTTATTGAACTATGAAAAAAAAATATTTACCGAAATTGAGAAATCAAAAATTGTCTTCTTTTCATCAAGGGTAGATAACACTTCAAAAACTTATAACGTGGAAAATAACTGTCCCCTCACATGTTATCAGTCTTGTGAAATTGTTTCCTTTCGCTTTTATCATTATATAGTAATGTTTTTTTAACTAGTTTAGAATTATTTAAAATCGATAAAAATTCCTTTATTATACATTGAATACCTTAATGATTCAAAGTTATTTTAAATTTTAATTTTACCTAATGATTTTTTAATGATAAGTGGACAATTCTGGTTGAAGCATTTTTAAACCAAAGAAAGATTGAAAAAGATATTGGCTTAAATTGACTTCTATACAGGGTTATATACAAATTAGTTTTCAATAGCATATTTATTGTTTAAGTGATATTATAACTCACGTATGGCCACATACTTTAAATAGATTACATGTAGTTTTTCTATTTCAGTTGCAAATATACAGCTAAATATGATCATATAGTAAAAAACAAATATTTATTAAGAAATCCATTTTATTTCATGTATGTGGATGCTGTAAGCACAAGAAGTTTCATGGTTCATACGAATGCTTACAATTGTAATATAAAATGTATAATAAATAAATATTTGAAAGACACATACAATATTTTGGTTTTAAATGCAGGTTAGCATTTGCTGTTGATCGTTAGCACCACAAACATTATCTAATTAGATGTTTGAACACCGAGAATCGCAATAAATTAAACATTTTTTTTCGATATGATGGCTTATCCATTATGTGTACATAGAGGATATTCAATGTTTTGTAGTTGAATATGGAATTGCACTCGTCAAAATATCAAGAAATCCTGTCTTACGAGTGAAATAAATCCCATTTTCAACTACAAAACATTGAATTTTCTGTTCATTACATTTTCTTTGAATTTCCCTTTGCCTACGTCTTTTTTTGTAATGCAGTCTTAGGCTACATGACGTCATAGTTAAGCGGTTTATACGTCATAGCTAAGTGAAAAACATTGTAAACATGAATTTTAGCAGCATATTTGGGGAACTTTCACAGTTTTTTTCATGACAGAATGGTTCATTAACTCGTTTTCTATCTTATAACAGGTTAAGAAGTATGTTTCACAACACTCTTGGTGAAGGGAAGAAAGATCGAGAGTTTTCCCGCTCTTTTGATATTCTTTCATACTGTGACAGGATATCATTTTGCTATCCTTTCACACTGTGACAGAATATAACTTTTATTCAATGAATAAATTACAGTATTTCACTGTTAAAAATGTAATAGATGTATGGGATTCTGAATAATAAGAAGGGAACTTGAGAGGCTGTCATAAAGTTAGTATACAGATTTCTACGAGTTTTTTTTCTCTTTTTAATCACAAAAACAAGTCTTTGACTTTAAGTAAAACATTGCTTTGGTGATTTATTGTTTCTTAGCTTTAAGTCCACTGTCTTACATGTTTATGAAATAGATGGAGATAACGAACAGTATTCAAGGACAAAAGATCACAAAACAATACCAAATATGAACAGAACAAACACAACCTCGAAGTTCGGACATCAAAGGTGGGATCAGGTGCCTCAGGTGCGATGGAGTAGTGAAAATTCGCTGCCGACCGGTCACAACCGCTCCTTGCAAAATGCGAAATAACAGAAAATATCCGTCGACAATTCAATGTGTATAAAGTGGCCTAACAATTAGTACGCAAAACGCCAGTAAATTTTTAACATTATTATACGGGATAGATAAAAAAGCAATTTATGATCAGTTGAATAGGTCACATCATGTATGTATTTTTTCATTTTCCTATTGAATGTAAGAGTAAGGATATATTTACGTGATTAAGAAGCGTTCTGTCTCTTTTTAGAACGAAATTTCCACGGAAACAGAGCTTTATCAAAGACAGCCGACTCCTTTCAAAGATCATGAAGATGGGCAAATAGAAAGATCTCTTGATGCCGATGGTACATTTCTATGTAGAGATGGTAATACTGATAAAAACAATGGAAGCGAAACATCCATACATAATATCAGCAGTGTACTTTCAGCGCATTTAAGTCTGTCTTTGAATCGAGGATCGATAGCCGGAAATAATATTTTTGAACCTATTTTAGCAGTACATTCCAATGAATACATAAATCAAAAAAGAGAAGGCATCAGGCAAATTGCAAAAGATCTAAATCCGACAATCAGTATACCCAAATTAGACGGTAACCCGTCTTTCTCAAGACCTAAGTTGCCATTTCATCCATGGAATAAGTCTTTCTGCCATCCAAGTTTAAATCCAGATGTTTTCTTGAGTGAATTTGATGAAACATTTGATCCCCATGAAAGACATGATTGTCAGGAAACATACATTCCTGAATTAAATATCGAAAATCAAATTGTAAATTTTGAGCTGATTAATTTTGTGTTGAAAGAAACTGAGGAAACTTTTCATAGGGAAAAATCTCCTGAATATGAAAAGATTTGCACAGACGTGAGAAAATTTTTGGAAAATGTTTGTAAAGAAATGGCAGTCCACCATCATGTTTTCAAAAATTATTCTATCATTGAAATGGGAAGCATGGTTGAAGGAACGAAATTTGGTGACCCCGACGAGTTTGACTTCATGATAGATCTTCCAAATTTAAACCAATCTCTGGAGTTTTATACTGAAGGCATTGATACCTTAGGTTTAAAGCATGAAAACCGAGTCGTCCGTGTGAAAAATAGAAACGTTTTTGAAGACTTTAAAGATCTCTCAAAAGATTTAGCAGAAGGAGAAGACGATAAAAAATTTATGCGACGAGTCTGGAATGAAATTCAGATAGAACTAGCAGACGTCATGAAGAAGAATACATTACCTGGTTGGAAGTGGCTGGACACTGTTCCAGCATTTACGTCAACCTTAGCACAGACAAACAAACTGCTTTGGAAAGGGAACATTTACAGGCATTTAATCGTGGACTTGGATATCTGTATTTCCTTAAAACCTCCAGAATTCGAAACACATATTGATTTTAATCAGGACATTTTAGACAAATCTCGACCAGGTATCAGCACCAAAGGCAAACGAAAATACAACCGAAGAGAAGAAAACATTTACTTCTTATTAAGGTCTGATGGCGAGGCGAGATGGACCAGAGCACTTCTAGAAAAAGAAATATGGGCGAGTTTTCCTGAGGAGGATGGAAGGAAAACAATTTTGCGGTCGCTTAAATACTTTGATCAAAGATATATACCAAAACGGTATAACGAAATTCTCTTCAGAATGGAACCGGCTATCCCTTCCTACTGGTTAAAGACTATTGTGTTCTATTTAATGGCTTGGTATTATGAAGATTCGTGTTGGACAAAAAATAATTTATCGTTTCGCTTTTTTGAGGCCTGTATTATTTTGAAGGAATGTTTGTACAAGAAAAACTTATCGAGTTTCTTTGTACCACATAACATCTTAGGTAAACTGTGTCCATTTGGATCAGAGGATGAGGATTACAAAAAACTGGTAAAAGATGTTATTAATGCAACAGAGTATTTGAAAATACCACAGAAATTTGATAAAAATGACATAAGAACAATTGAAACTGAGATAGAAAATCATAATTCTGTCGAAAGGGACAAAGGTGTATTTGACTCTGTTATTGAATTGTGTTATTTGTATGCCTTCAACGACTTTGCAGATGAAAATAGAAAAGCATTGCAATCTTTCTTAGATGAAATAGGAAATGAACAGTTTACACTTATAGGTGAAGGAAGTGAGCTCAAACTACTCTACCTAGATTCTACAGCAGACATCAATTGTCAAATAGCTGAAAAATATGGCGAAACAAAATTATATTTCTCATAAAATTTCTACAGAAGAAAATGAGGGTAATAAACAATATATAATTAAACTAAAGTAAAATTATTGTTCATTTTTCAAAGTAATACATTGCGTTAACCTAACTTGCAGACGCCTTATATACTAGTAATATAAAAGATCTGAGTAGTATATTATTTCTTCCAAGTGCATTGTATGTGTACTACACATAGAATAAAATTGTTATCTTTTTAGATGATAGGTGAACTACTGCCGTGTTTATCAAAAAAGCAAGTAGATATCTGGTCCGTTGGTTACCAGTAATTGATTGGAGTATTTTATTTCACGTCCCGTACAAGAAATATTAACTCAGATAGACTTTTCATCTACATATACCGGGCTTAAAATGTAGATCCTTGCCCGGCAATCAGGGTCATTAAGGAGATTTTCATCATGCCAACGACCACCGTGACACGGGGCAGTGGTTTTTGGTTTCCGGTCAGAATTCGACGAACCTGCAAACACTTTGTCTCGAGCGCTTGCTGAAGAACTAGTTGCTACCTATTTATCGACTCAGGCCAATCACCACCGGAGTTCGAAATCAAAGCCTTTCTTTCAATTAGCGAGTGCTATTATACAATTATTGCTGTTTTTTGAGGTCAATACAATGATTTAGCCATCTGAGGAGTATAATATTCACCGAGCCCGAAGGGCGAGGTGAATATTGTACTTCGAAGATGGCTAAATCATTGTATTGACCGAAAAAAAAAGCAATAATTGTTTTATTATATGATTCACTGATAAAATGATACAGCTCATTACTTGTTTGCATTTATTAAGTCCTAGCCAAATACAAGAGAGAAGCAGAATTAAAATGTGAATAAACCTTACCAGACCTATCAATGTGAAATGCATGTTTTTTTTTTTATCAATTTTAGTTGCCATGAAAAAAATATATGTCAGTCTTTTTTTATAGGATAGATTTTGAAAGGAAGGAGTATATCAGGGAAAACTGACTGCCAAAAAAATGTTGTTCAGTAAAAGTGCTGGAGGGGGGGGGGCTGCATTCCCTGTTACCACCCTCACCCCAAAATATATATTCGCTTATGTTTTGCTGACATGAAAAAAAAAATCATAGTCATATAAATAGCTTTCCGAAACAATTTGTATCAATTTGGAATTTCCCAATCTATTTTTAGATCAATGTAGAGGAAATAAATCCTTGTATTGACCTGGAACGTCACGTGCAGGTCAATACAACGTAGTATTTTTCTAACATAGTTGGATCTCAGCCAATCAGAGAGTTGGAAATTATTCAATCATATAATAAAACGAATTAGCTATCGTGAAGGTATCAACCATTGGTTTAAATTTCTGTCCTGTTTAATTATAAACACAAGGGCATTGTTGTGTTTAGAGACTGGGAATCACAGATCTAGATAAGACAGTAGATAGAAGTAAACTTTCCAGGTCGAAAATGATAAAAAGAATGCTTCAAATAATCTATAATAAGCTGAAATTTAAATTTTAAGGTGAAAAATACAATTAATCAACCCATTTTTACGCAAAATATATAGCTATGTCTCTTAGCAGTAGAATCATTGAGCCAATTTGAAGTGTCTCAATATTGTACTGTTTTGTGGCAAAAGATGGTTTTCTATTGAGGGTTTTAAATGAGTTATTTCCCCATGACCAACATATTGTAGGTCAACATTTCCAGATCCATTCATTATTCAATCAACCCCAGTTTATTATGCTGGGTACTGAGGTAATGATTACAATTTTTTATGAATATACCTTTGATAAAAGGCTCTGTTTATTCATAGTTTCAAGATTGAAAATTTCTACAAATGCATCTGTGTTTAAAATTGGTTGCTGAAAAATTTCACTTCTTTGCCTTACAAGATGGCGGAATAGCTCCGAGGCATAATACGTCATTTAAAAACCATCTACTACATCTCTTTGGGAGTTTCAGACTGGGACTGTGAGCATAAAAGCTTATTTGAGGATTTTCTCTAAGCTTTCTTGAAAGATCCGAGATCGTAGTTGAAAAAATTGAGTTTAATGATAATTGAATTTTGAAGTCTAGGATTTTGAGACCTCGGTAAGTATAACTGTTTGTACATTTAGGTAAATATTAGACAAGTCACGAAAACATCATCATCATATATATTTCCAGATCACGAAACTAACATGGTACATTTTAGGTATAGCACTATTTCAAGAGCGGTTTGAGGACGAGCGTGCGTATTCCTTTAAAACAGAGTAGCGAAGTTGTTAGTTCTAGAGAGCTCTAGTAAAGATACATATACATTTATAATTTTTATAATTATTTATATATTTATATATATAATATAATTGTTATTATGTTCCTCTGAAAACTAGAAAATTTATCCGAAATTTAAAATATTATTTTATTTTTATCGGTGACAAAAGGTGTTTACAGTTGTATGTTGTCTGATTTATTCGTGGTAACTTACTATTCAACAAATGATAACATCGGACCAAATCAAAAATATTTAAATAGATAAATGTATGATATTATGTCAGAAATAAAAAAAGTACAACGAACATTATTAAAGCATGTTTTAAACTCAATGGTCTTTGCTTCATATTTATATATCATATATTCATATATAATACTTCATCATTATGTTATCAAACATACAGCTTTTAAAAAATAGACTAGCAAAAAGGAAAGCCTCTCCCACTTTATCTTAGTAAACATTCAGTACTCTTCCTACTTGTTCATTACGCATACTCGATGTACTTGAGAATTTTAACTTTTCCTGTTTTGTATTCCACAACAATAAGATTGTCATCGTCAGTGATACTTATGTCATATGGCTCTTTCAAATTAAAGCCATCTAAGTATTTTATGAAAATCCCATTTTTGTCGATGATATGTATAACGTGGTTATCACTGTCTGCAATGAGAATGTTACCGATACGGTCAGTAGCTAAACCAAAGGGATGAAATTCTGGGAACCTTTGTGATTTAAATTTTCCTTCATAAACAAACTTTAGCTTTCCCATTTTATCTGTACCGACGATACAATTTTCATTTATGTCAGACACTATCATATCTAAATTGACGTTTTCTTCCACAAAAGCAGGATAATGATATAAAGGTTTTCCATCTTCTCGAAATTGAATTTCCTGAATTGCTAGAGAACCTGAAAAACGAACAACTTTGCTATCTTTGAAACTGTCGGTCCACATGGATACCAGAAGTTCATTAGTCGATGTACTTGTTACTGACCATGGCTTCCAGTCCTTTAGTTTTATGATACACTCAGCTTTTTTATCTTTAACAAGATTTATGGTGCGATCTCTTCCATCAGCGTAAACCAAGGCATTATCTTTAGTTACCGTTATATCCGTAACGATGTTACGGGTCATTGTCGTCAGCGTTTCCGAAATATCACCTTTGAATGTTAGAAGTCTGATAAATTCTGCATCCCCACTGACATAAAACTTGTCAAATGTTCTGGAACAAGTAACTCTGAGAGTGTGTTGGAAACCTGTATCAATAACAGCAAGTAGTTTTGGAATTTGGCAAAATCTTTTCCCAACATTTTTATCAAATAATTTCAGTTCATGATTACATTTAACGGCCTTCGTTGGAATAACAGTTTTAAGAGACGGTGATAGACTTCCGATTTCTTTTAGAAGTTTATCTTCAGAAAGCATGCACATTTGAAGTGCAGGTACTTCTAACTGAAAACGGGACGGTATTATTCTTAGTTCTTCAACTTTTGATGAGTAGCACTGCAATTTGCTGAAATCTCTTGCCAACACAATATTTTGCAGCCCGTTTAATTCTGACTCTACTTTTAGTTTCAAATGATGAAAAACACGCCTTAGTATTTCTACCGATTTGATATCTTCTGATTCAAGCGTGTCTGCCTCTGTTAAATATTGCTCAATTACTTTGTCCAGAACTTCATGTGCAGTTTTTCCACATTGTGTGATTGCTTCTTTTCGATTAGTATGCTGTTCTCTAAGTCCTTGATCCAGGCATTCAATTTCAGCAATGATAGAGTCAAACTTTGGTAATATACAATTTTTAAATTCAGATTTATCTTTTTCTGCACTTAGTCTTTTTGATTTATATACCCCGTTGATTTCCTCAAGATCGTGAAATTTATGTGACCCAGATGCAATACATTCAACACAAACGGGGGATACACAATTTTGACAGTAGAGCTCACAATTTTGCTTTGAATGATGAGAACAAACAGGGATTTTGAAATCACATTTTCGACTTGAAAGAGTCATTACATTATGCTTCAATGAAGGCATCGATATGATATGATGACCGACACAGGTCTCACACAGATTTACATTACAAGTGTTACAAAAAGCGTCTGCTTCCGATTTGAATTCAACGTTTAAGCATAATTCACATCTAAGAACATCCTGCGCCATATTAAAACCTGTAATTGTTTCGTTACATCACTTCATTTCTGATCACTGAATGAAATTAGAGACAAATATAAAACATTTTTAAAACACATGCTAACGTAAATAAAACTGAATATCTAATCATCAAGCGCCTTGTACAACACATGCACCTCATCATCAATATTAATGCCTTTTTCTTAATGTCTAATCTTAGGATCCGGTATTTAACACATCATCTTTCTTGATCAAACCTGAGCTTTGTCACGTACGTAAAGTCCATCGGTCTTTTCATAAAACACTTCACCCACAATCCTCTCTAATTCATAACAAGAGTGTTTTCCTGCTACTTGTCTCATGTGACATCTATTACCACTCATACATACAAATTTAGATGCGCGGATCTAGAGGGGGTCCGAGGAGTCAGGACACCCCCCTCCCCTGGAATTTGCAAGATTAATAAATTTATATACTAAAGCAAGAAAAAAGGTTACCTTGGACACCCTTTGGAAAAACGCAGACCCCCCCCCCCCCCCAGGTTAAGGCAAATTGCGTAAAATATGTTTGAAAAGTAAAAGATGTAAGGCAATAGGCGTCATCGACTACCCTTTACCCCCCATCCGAACGAAATAGGTTTTTGACGTTTGGGTAAGTTTAGCTTTTTTTTTTTCTCGAAATTTCTTTGTTGGATTTTTTTTTTGGACTGGAATTAACCCCCCCCCCCCCCTTGGAAAAAAAATTAAAA